AAATTATCTAAAATTAAAAAAGTAATCTTTATCTATTTACTTCTCTGTTTTAATAATAAAAATATTTCTTCTTTCCGACTCGTCAAAAAGATTTGTCGAAACATATTAAATGTTCTTAGAAATATGAACGATCGAGTAACGTCCTTCTCAATGTTAAAAAGATTGCTCGTTCACCGGAAGTCGTTTATACCGAAGTAACGAATTCATTCGTTCAGCGATCCATACACGTTCCGGAATGCGACTCCCGACGATTCGTATCCCAACTTTGTTTCGTTCTAAGCTGATAACTTTTCCAATCACGGGCGAACCGACGAAAACGTGCCTCTAGTTATCGAGCGATTGTTCCTGTGCCGCGATTCCTATCGTACAAACGATTTATCTTCCAGTTTAAGCGGAAATTTGTGATTCCATTCACCGGACGCAAACTACTATAATATCTTCCATTTCCTTCCTATTTAATTTCCTCTTACAAATCACGAAATTGATCTTGTAAAAAAAAAAAAATAGAGGAAGAAAAATTCTATTTGCCCTCGACCATTGATTATTATTATTATGAGTTAAATCACGCAACCACATGAATCTTCCTTGTTATTGTCGTCGATTACACGTAATTGCGTTTTCTATGCTCGAGGCAATTTAGAGATCGATGCTGGATAATATATGCGGATATGTTGAATGATGTTTTTTCTTCTTCTTTTTTTTTTTTGCTTGCATCGATGTTAGTTTCATGATAAGTTGGTTCGAAACGATAGTTATCTAGTGTGATACGTGTTCGTTGTAACGAGAAACGTTACAGAGTGAACGATTCATTCTTTCAGTGACATTAAGAACGATTGCGACACAGGGTTCGCTGGCTGGCAAGTGTCTCACGGTGAACATCTCCCAACTTTCCCTTCGAAAGGGAATCTAATACAGCAGACTCTTGAATATGATGCTATTTATAACTTGTAATTAAAAAAGGTAAAAAGTAATAAATAAATAAAATTTGAAAAAAGTTGATTCTCGGTAACACCTTAGGAATTGAGAATAGGAAAATAATAGTTCCAGAAAATTCTGAATCAAGAAGTACCTATTTCAAGATCTTCGAAAGATTCGAAGAGACTCGAATTTCCTTTCTAAGCGATGAAAAATGCGCGAAAAAATCTCAACATCTGAAAAGACTCAAATTTTATTATTTTCATTCATTTCCACGAGTACGAATCGATTTGCATACAAAGCAACATAAAGAGAGAAGAAGAAAATTAACTTGAATCAGGTTTGGTATCAACAGTGCTAATATTATTCAAGAGTCCAAAGAATTTTATGATTTTGAAATTCAAATGAACGATCGTGGACTTAAAAACCAGTACCCCGCTTACTCGCAAGGCAGTCTGTTTTTAGCTAATATATTTTTCTTGTACATCACCGGTCAAACGCGGAAGGTGGTGCAGAGACTGGTTCTAGTGTGCTGACGTGTGCGTACGCACACGTTATGTAAGATAGTTGTGCGGCACTTCGTGGTATCCAGTTGTATAACTTCCTTTGGCTGTAATGTTTTGCCGCCTGTAACGCGGCTTTCAGATCGTCAAGAGAATTATCACGCGAAACTTGATACGGCAGTAGAATCGATCGAATCGAGGGAACGTTTCATATCGTTCGTCAAAAACTATTCTCACCTATATTTACCGGCGTTTCTATTTTGTTGAACGCCGCGACACCGTCCTCTTTTGTCGATGAAAGAGCAGGAAGCGTGAATGGAAGGTACCTGAATTTTTCAGATACCGTTCGCAGTCTGATAAGAGGTAGACTTGTTGCTGTCCCGTTTGCTCAGAGAAGGTAAAATATTATAGGAAAAGGATGTTCAAAAATTAGGTACCTCGGTACCGAAATTATTCGAGATGTAAAAACTAGCAGATATATGCCTAAAATTTTTGATCCAACGATGTTGAAGGATTCTTGCTATGTAGATTTGATCAGGAACTCGTGACCCTTTTGTGTACCTAAATCAGGTACCTGGTACTTAGTTCGAAAATTGTCGATTTGAATTGATTCAAGGACTTTTAATCCCGATTAAAAGACTTGCTACTCGAGTTTGTTCAAATTTTCGTTATTTTTAGGTACACGAATATCTGGTGCATGTTCAGGTACGCCGAAATAAAACTTATTCGCATGATGATAATTTTCGAAGCGTGAGATTATTGTGTTACACTTGACCCTGGGGTACACGGATTCTCATTACAATCACACTTTATTTAATCGAGAACACAAAGTTGATCCGAGCTCAGGTACTGGATAATATGTCGGGGAGTATTACCCGCGAACTCATCCATAGATCGATCTACATCGGTATGGGTAATTGTCAAGATTGGGGGGGGGGGGATCACTGTAACCACCCTTTCGCATGCTTAAAGGGGCAATATCGCTGTATGCGGCTGCATTTGTGTGCCGCATTGCGCCTGGAACTCTGCCAATCTACGTTAGCATTGCTTTACGTAAGGAGCCCGTTTTCGATGTAACCTCTCAAACTACTAGAGGGGTAAAACAGAGAAAAGCAACGTTCTTTTCTTGGAGCATGTCACTCTTAGATTACACTCGATCCGCATAGTGCAGCAAGACAACAAGGAAACTCAGAATAGGCGCCGAGAACATAACAATACTACGATAAACATAACCGTAAGCACGATAATGTTTTTTTAAGTACCGAGAAAAGTTTGAGAAAGAACGGTTTCGTGCTGTGGCCGCTTCGAATGAATTAGAAGGGTAAAAGAATGCGTGCAGTCGAAGGTCGTGGGAAAACCAACAGAGCGTTGGCCTTTCTCCGTCACCGTGCAAGAAGGATAACTGATTATATAATACATACTATCATCTTCGTAGCGCGCGAAATTCGAACAAATGCACCGATCCTTCTTAAGTATTCATTCTGATGTTTTTAAAAAGACGACGTTCGAGCTGGGAAGTGTGCATCCGGGAAATTGGAAGGGGCGTGCAGTACACGCCTGGAGGAACATGAGATATACAGTAGATTGGGCCGCGTATAGTCAGCCGTGGCGGGACGTCGAAAGAGGCATAGAGCCTTGTTTGAGCAAGCTGAAGTGTCATTAAAGAGGGAGACTCTTGTCTCTTTAAAATATAACGTAAATCTTAAAAAATATTCATCAGGAAAAGCTTGGGAATCGTTAAAATTAAATTTTGGAATTTTAATTTTTATTAATTTTTAGAATCCGTTATGAAAAAGTTGAATGCTTTCAGTAATTATATGTCGTAAAAATATAACATTGAACAAATGCGGTTTTTATTTTATGTCAAATCGTAAAATCGTGTATAAAAAAACAAATATTGTACAAATTTTAATTTAGATGAAAATGTTCTTATGTATTAAAAAAATAATAATTAATTCATTATTGTAAAATAATCTTGTGTTTATACTAAATCGCCGATCGAAGTCAGATAGCAATTTTTAATCACCTGACAAAAGAGATAGAATTAAATTAGACAAACAGCAGGAAGTCGATAAGTCGATAATTCTAAGATAACTTTCCTCTTTCAACGTCTAAGAAAGAATTTCGAACGACGGTATTTCTCACAGAGAAGAATCTGGCATAATTTTCCAGTGTTTTGGACAAAGAGGCGGTCTTTCAGCCGCGTTTCTAACGAGAACGACTGTCCCCGCTGTTCTCCCACGATAATTGTCCTTTAGAAAGTGATCCGCCTAATTTTCCGGTGGTCTAAATCCGTGAACGCAAGAGGGCGCGCGGGGAAACCTTTTTCTTCAAGAACAAAAGGGGTCCTTGGCCAGTGTCGGATAAAAGATCGTCACTCACCTCCAACAAAAGCCCCTGCTGCACGTTGTTGCTGGCATCCTGACTCGACAGAGCCAACACTATCAACGTCAGGATACCAGCGGCCAGCAACGTTCGCCTGATCGCCGCGAACACATATCTTCGCGGTGTCATCTTCTCCCTGTGTACAATCTTCCTTCTGTACTCATATCGAACTGAAACAGGTGAATCGATTGGTAACGGTCCAGTGTGATTTATCGGTACAACCGCGCTCGTTCCTATCGATCGGTAAAGAAGATGGTAGAGGTATGTAGATGATCGTTTGTACTTATAGATGACCGTCGAATAATACTGCATCTCGAAACATGTACGCACTCTACCGGGTTAAAAAATTGTGAGAAAAGTGACAAGAAATGAAAGTGAAGTGAAGAAGTGAAGAAATGAAAAGCTTTGGTCAAATTTTTATAAAAAAACTTGAAAAATAAATTGCGGATAAACGGGTCATTGATAAACATATTAAATTAATATGCATATCCGTTATCCTTTTATCAATTTTTGTAACATAACCTCCCTTTTTATCCTATATCATCCTCCCTTAGTTCTACGATATTATATTTCCACAATCGCGTCATATCAGTGCTATCTGTATTTAGACAAATATTGAGGGTAGGTAACAGTATAGTTCATGAACATGTTCAATCGTTCTTGGTTTATCAGAGTTTAGGGAGAAAAATTGGAGATTGTCTCTTGCCTATAAAGAATTAATGTTTGAATATGGAATATACTCAGACGTAGTTTTAAGAAAAAACCTGTAGTTTTCTATAGGAATTCCATTAATCCGAACGTGTCAGAGCACAAAACGACTCGAATAATAGTTTAACGATTCCCTGCTCTATCTATGATTTCTCGTTTGGATAGTGGAAGCTGACGTTCGTAAAACCAAGTTCGAAGATATACGCGCTCATTTTATGACAGCGACTAAATCACTGACGCATAAATTTTTGAAAATTATAATCCCTAGTGAATTAATCATTTATTTGGTAATCAAGGTAATTATACTTCTTTATTAACCGTGTAACATTACTTATACTATTGCCAATAACACTATAAACATACAGTTCTCTGAAATTTAAGCTAATTTATTCGATCGAAGTATGAATTATGCATAAAATGGTCAAAAACTGTGCAGAATGAATTCGAATGAAAATATCTAGCGCGAAGGCGTTTCTTGAGAAGACTATTGAAGTATGTATAATATACATCGTGTCATCACTAGTCATCAGTGGTCACGTGTTTGTTTCGTAAGGATGCATATTACGAACCTGATGGAAACCCTAAAAATACGTTTTATATAAACCTTCGAGTAAAAATAAATATATAAAAAACTAAATCCCGTTCGTATATAAAATATTATTTTTCATTTATACTATTATTGATTGAAAGATAATTAACAAACGTTAATAACAATTTATACGTATTTCATTAATTTGAAATTTTCTAATTCGACAATAACATTCCACAAGCAATGTTCTGATAATATCATGACGTGATATGTACTACTAAATATCAAATGAGTATCGATTCTGTTTGATACGCACAAGTCACTAACTATTCGATACAAAATTCTATTTCACAGTCTAATATCGATAGCATCGATTCGATATCACTTCTGTCGCTGAACATTTTCTTCCGCACAAGATTATTAAAATAAAAAGACTACAAATTAAATTACATTTTATAAATGAACGTTTGCTTATTCAGCAAAGTTCCAAGGCCATCAAAGAATAATACGTGCAATACTTGCAAAGTGGAACGACAGATTCAAGGATCGATGCCACTTTATCGAAAAGTTTGCATGGAAACGCGAGGAGCGCGCGCGCTAACCATTTCTTCTCGTGATCTTAATTTTACAACCCTCTCACAGTATTAGTTCTCACGCAAACAAAAAATTATTAAAACGATAATAGAGTGTATGTGTGTGTATGTGTGTGTATATATATATATATATATTGAACACAAAAGTAATTGTAAGTATATCACTCGATAAAAAAGCAGCAAAAAATTTCCAAACTTTACTTGCGTGTGCAGAATTGCGTCGATCTTATCAACAGAGGTGCAAGTGAATACAACCAAAGAATCTTTCAAGTAGGAATGCACTCGGTTACAGTGCATGCGTTTCCTGGGTCAATGGGTCAGAGAACACCCTTTCTTTCCTCTAGAGTCTAGACTAACTTCTTGGTACAAACGATCATACTTCATCAATATGCTTCGATAGATTCGTAATAACACTTTAAACATGTAAAATACGTACTTGGTGTGGACATATATGCCCTAATCGCAGGATTCAACGATGCATCTATTGCACCTCCGGCAGAAAATTCAACCTCCGCCTCGATTCGACTCGATTCACTCGATGGAAACGAGTGATACACACCGTGAATCAAAGCACAATTATGATAATATACTTCTTGAATTGTAAACTCTTACGAAACACGTGACACGAGTAACTGATTGAACGAAAAATACAGACACCACACGATCACGGCGGCATCCTGCAGATTACTGAAGGGACATGCACCGTTCCGTATACTTCTATGCTCGTGTCGTCTGCTACCAACCGAGCTGTTCGCGTTCACTGATTGGCCGATGTTTTCGCGGGTCGATTTGCCGCTGAACGACTCCTGCGCAGTCGCAACACTCCGAACCTGTGCCTCGCTAACCCTTTGCCCGACGATACACAGACTCCCTTTAATTATCTGTCCTCCTCTAAATGCAGCTTTCATTACCGAACGGTATGAATAGTAAGGAGGCTAGCTATGGAAGCGTTTCTATAGAAAACAATCTTTGTTACTGGATTATGAAAATTCCTTTCGGATAAGGAAACAAGGAAAAATAAGATACTTCCTTAATGCTACTATTACGTTTACAATTGATATCATCGAACGAGTATAAAATTCCAAAAAAATGTAACGTAGGTTCAAATAAAATTATCCGTACTAAGAAGGAAAACTGTACTATTTTAATTAAATATCTAATACGAATTTGCATAATTTCAATATTCGAAGAACATCGATAAAATGGTATCACTACGTTATCTATATATAACAATATTATTACCGACACGCCTACAAATAACGTTGTATTCTAAATTTTGTTCCAGAACGTTACACAATCCCCAGATTTATATATCTTTCAAAGATGTTGATGCAATAAGTGGCACATCAATGTTTTGGTGTTTGATGGACAGAACATTTTGGTGTCGAACCGACATAATTCAGCCGGACAAGGAGGTGGTGGCTATCGTTGCACTAGATTTACCAAAATTTGATAAAGATCCTTTCTGTGACGCATACGGTACGATTTCGTACGAAACTGATGAGAAACAATACCAAACTCCAGTACCTGTTATCCGCCTCGCGGTGGAAGAGACGGTAGATAGAAGTTGTGAAGTGCAATTTTTGTCTGAGGTGAACAACAGTATTTTAGCCTTAAAAAGCACATCGATTGAAAAAACCGTAGGTATACAGATTGATAAAAACCCTGAAAGAGGAGAACGACTACTAAAATTCTTGGAAGAAAAATCTTTCAAAGAAATCCGCGCCGACGTTTACTTTATGAAGAGAACCGGATGTCTGATGTACTGTTTAATAGAGATACTGCCCATTACCGACGGAGAGGCAAGGTTGAGAATTTTTTCTAGGTAAAAATAATATTTTGTCAAGTGTTAATTATAATTTAAACCATAAAATAAAAAAATTAAAATATTTGTACATTTACAGATCTAGTCAACAAATGAACATAATATTACGACTTTTAAGGAACCAGTTTCCGGACATGATCACCGAAAAGGATGTTGACTCCGTTTTTGCTGCGACGGTTCTCATAGAGGAATTAAAATTATATCTGGAAGATACGAGCACCCCCGAGCGGCAAATGGCAAGAATAAGAACTGACCTACTTATCCCGTGAACACGGTAAAACAGATTGCGTTCGTTAACAAGAGAGAATGAACTAAAAACTCTCTCTTCATTCACGCACACTTTAAACATTTTCAATAGGGAAGAGTGATCAAAGTGCATCAAGTTTTCCAATGCTTCTATTAGATTTTATATTTTGCATTTTATTTTATTCTCTAAAATATGTATGTACATACTTGTACGTATTTTTGTATTATATGAATATATTGTATTAAAGTATTATTTATTCAAGAATTGAAAATCAAATCTAGCGGTATCCAGCTACTTCGAATTACTATTATCTCACTCCTAGCTCCTGCTCCTAGACAATAATATCAGGATAGCATGGCATAGGTAGTAGCATCGTAACTATCGAGATCCCGCCGAAAACCGGTTTAGCCACCACTACTTCCACCTAACTACGGTCGCACGAGTATAGTGTTGATATAAAGTTAGTCTATGCCACTGATCTACGATTTTTACGAAAATCTTGTTTCGTGTAGTTTATGCATGATATAAAATCACAGTTACATTACATTTTTAAAGTAAATTAAATTTTATTTAATACCTTTGTGGATGATTAAAAATCCTTTTATTTTTAATAAATTGAGCAAAGTTGTTAGCGATGATAATAGACAAAATTAAATAATGGATTCATACTTTAATACTTTGAAAATATGAAAGTTAAAATTTATTTCCTGTTAAACTTGTTATTTCCCTGTTTTCGTTCCTCATTCTGTACAAACAGAGATAAGATAATACAAAATTTCGGTGATCGTTTCATGGGAATGATCCTTGTTTGAGTTCTTCCGCCATTTTTCGATTTCTATGGGTGAAACTGTATACGTAGTGGGCGAGCATCTGTGCACAAGTATGTGTATAGGTATCTACTGTCATCATCTGTTCGTGGAACTGTTATGTCGTGTGTAGTAGCTATCCACATATCATAGAAAAGGAACTATCACGTTCGTGATTTACGAACAACAAATGGCTAACGCATTAGGTGCCGTCGATTGGGAAGGTAGATTTCCTCTGACGCAAATACTACTTTCATTTTGTATCTTTTTAACACTGTCACTCGCTGAACGCCATAAGATTTTGCAACAATATTACAGCTTGTTTTGACATATGTCATTCTACTATTAATTCAATTTTCTTCCTTATAAATTATGAAAAATATGATCTTATCTTACAGCCTCGTGTTAAAGTTTAATAAAAATGACATGTTTTCCCTTTCTAGAGGTTACATTAAAATTATTTCACTTTTGTTATGTCAAAGCTTACTTAAATCATAAAAAATATAATTTTAGAAATTTTGATGATAACTCGAAGATTAAATTCATATTTCAGGTTTACGAAACAAAATTATTTTTAAATGAACTGACCTGTGATAATTGTTGTGAAATGCACTGTCAGTATTCCTAACCCTATTAAAAAAATTCGTCGGTAATTTTCCCTAACAAAAATGAAGTTAAATTTGTATGATTTATTTTTCTGTATTATATATATTTGTTCATGTTTTTTGGAATTAATAATTCTTACAGTGTTTATTTTTTTAGTTAGCAGTAATATCTATGTTGTATTACAGTATTATATTTTATAATTTAATTTTTATTTAAATATTATAAACAGAAATAGTATTGCAATATTGGTTAATATAAACTATTAATTTTGCCTCATATTTTAGACCTGAGAAGGCAAGCAAGACATTTGGAAAATGAGATTGATGCAAAACTGGTAGCATTCAGCAAGCTTGGTGTCAATAGTGGATCCAAGCTTGTAAATACAGATGAAGTACCACTTTTAGATGAAGAGCATGTTTTTGAGAATATGGCTTCTGAAATAGAAGCTTTACTTACTAAAGTAAGTTTAAAACATCAATACTTTATTTCAATGATATAAATTGCATTGTTTGCCATAGTTATTCTCTATAAATGAACGAATGAGTGAGTTGCAACCAAATGGTGCTGCAATGCTGCATACAATGCAACGCCACAAAGACATATTGAAAGATTACAAATTGGAATTTAACAAAATCAGAAATAATTTTGCTGCAAGGAAAGACAGAGAAGATTTATTAGGAAGTGTTCGTAAAGAAATCGAGTACGTATAAGTAATACTTAATCACTTGCAATTCTTATTTTTCCTTTTAAATATTTTGTTAAAAGTATATACATTTTCTATGAAACAGTAATTATAAAAGTGTGAGTGGACTGAATCGTCGGGAAATGTATTTGAAAGAAAGTCAACATATTCACAAGTGAGTAAAAATTACTATACTATTCGTTTTATTATGATGAATGTTATTAATTATACATAGTAGAAAGTACCCTGTTTGTTACATTTTTAGTTGAATACAAAATCAGCGAAAATTTTCTTTTTCAGTTCGGATCGTTTAATCAATGATCAAATAAGTATAGCAATGGAAACACGAGATCATTTGATGACTCAAAGACAAACGTTTAAACGTATACAGACCAGACTAAACGACATTTCAAATCGATTTCCAGCAGTAACTAGTTTGGTGCAAAGGATAAATCTACGTAAAAGACGAGATTCGCTTATTCTCGGGCTAATTGTTGGATTCTGCACATTTCTCATGCTGCTATATGCTTTTCACTAAATAATGTTGTATACCAAAGTACTTCCACCCTTTTATGGGGTTAGTGATTCATCGATGGGAATGCATATATGTAGAAGAGGTATTTGGTGATGTATTTACGTCATATAACAAATAGGAAACATTGAAGTTGAAAAGCGCGTGATTGTGCGTGATTTAATGCGTATAAGTGAACTCTGAATGGTCGAATGAATGTTTTCTCGTTTTTGCGAGTTAAGGAAGTAAACGAAATGAAAAAAAAGAGATGTTAAACTGTACAGTTTTTTTTATACCTAACGTAAGTCGTGGGCACCATGTAAAAAAATTTTAATCCACGATCAAAATGTTAATTTAATAAACGTTAAAATTAACGGAGGAAATTTTACGCATTTACAAAATTATTTGTATTTTTTTCAGTTCCTACATGTACACGATTATATTATTTCAAATTGCATTTTTGCTTCATGCCTTTAAAAAAAGAAACTGTGAAAGATCATGCTTATATAAGAGAAAAATTTTACGATTTTAACCTGAATGAAAATTTGTATCGTTTTTGTATGTTGCAAAAAAAAAATTATGATCAAACTAATCGCAGTGCAATAGACTGATATGTATATAAGATTTTTTATTTGCTATTAATATAATTCGATGCAATGCACAGTACTGAGTCCGTGCCTGCAAAAGAAAACAATTTACACATTTAATTTTTTTCTTTTACGGAAATCCATTGTATTTTATACGCCTATGAATCAATATTTCTTATATGCTTTTTCGCGGTATAACATATACGTTCAAAGCAACAAGGGAAAAAAGTATAGCAAGTAGCACGTTACTATTCGAAAAATTACACAACAACGGAGGAAAATAACGTTAATACAAACACCGTGATAATAGTGTGTAGTGTTGGGCTTCATTATTCGAAAGACCGATTTTGTTAATATTACTTTTTTCAGTTTTTACTAAGAAGTATCGATTTTACATACACAGAAAAGAACATTTATACATGTATATATACACACGCGCGTACATATATATATGTATATATGCATAGCATTATCGGAGACCTCTCATTCGAGTTCACAAAACACAGCACGCTACGAAAGGAATCGTTTCGGCAAGTGCGGTGCCTGGTTTCCACGTATACTAGATACCACATTTATAAATTACACCTTGTCTGTAATAGGAACTCAAGCAAGAATTGTAAAAATATCGAATATAAGGTACACGTGTGACCTAAAACTGCTTTATATTCTTTAATATATATATTTACACTTTGAAAACGTCCATTTATAATCACAAATCACTTTCAATTTTTTTTTAAATTTTTCGTTTAGCTGATATTTTCGTTTCCGATAGTATATTTTTTTTTCCATCAAGAATCTCCACGTTTGTAAGAACAAACACACAACGTGTCGATACTATGTTGCAGCTTCGTATGGAGTACATGTATCTCGCAATAAAACTAATTCATTAAGAGTTACGGAAAAAAGGAATAAACAACGAATTAACGAATCACCTTTGTAATGTACATAAATAAATATTTTACTGGGTATCCTGTATCGTATTCAATTTCACGGAAAATGATACAACGCAATAAGAGTATTTTATTCTTATGTACGCTACGTAAATGTACATTTTACATTCTTCCTTTTTTTTTCTCTGTTTTGTTTATAAATGCAATATGTAGTGTATCCGTAGAAACGTAGAGGTTGTTTCTTTTTCTTCAAAACGATTCTCTGTGGTAAGAACAGTTTGCGAAGACAGGAAAATATTCACAATGACAATTTCCAGGTTTTACAGCGTCTATAAACACGCAAACGCTTAATTCACATATTCTTTCTTTTATAAGGAGATTCTACAAAAACTGGATCCTACTGATTGCTCCGGAATACCCTAGTTACCATTTTTTATAATTTTTTTTTAAATTTCGATCTTTCCTTTTTTTTTTTTTTTTTTTTTTTTTAATTATTGTTTTCTGTCGTAAACGATAGATTGCGAGATCCATCTTACTTAGCACTCTATCGAAACTCGCCCAGGCGTACAAACAAACAACAGACATCTACTCAATATACATGCGAGTCGCATGACTACTTTATGACTTCTGAATATAAATATACTGCAGTATGTATCGTTTGAATCTAACTTTTTTTTCTTTTAATGCTGACTACTTATAAATAGAGGATAGTGGGAGACGAGGTTACAAATTCTTTTTCCGTTACATACGATATTCTGAGTTAACCAGCTACTATCATAACTAACGACAGCAGTTACGATTTCTAATACAATGGAAAAAGGAAAACAAAATAGAATTCATTAAACTTACCTCACAAAAATGAATTTGTAAAAACAAAAAAGAATTACCCTACCTTGGCACTTGTTCTTTGTAAATGATAAACAGGCATAATAATAAAGGTTATAGAATTAAAGAAGTCCACGTTTATCACCTCGTCCCTCGATCTCCTTGCAATAGTAATAGTAGTTTTGCAGTGGGAGTACTAGTACTAATAATAGTAGCAGTAGTGTAATAATATTAATGATAGCAGTAGCAATGGTCATTAATTAACTATCCGATCAATTCAACGATCAAACGAAAGAAGTTGGAACAGTTGCGTATACATCTGTGTATATTCCAGCGAGAATTAATCGTTTCTTGTTTTGCACTGCCTTCTTTATATAGTACTAATACTACTGTTTCTTTTTTATTTAATTCTCCGGGTTATACTTACTTCCGTTCCATTAATCAGTCACAATATATAATGCAAGTAAGCAAACCCGTTCCTATCACTAATATTTACGTACAATCGATTCTCACTGGATGTTTTGTTTACTTTGTTCATCAGGATATGATTAGCGTAAGATACGGTTTTCTTAAATCGTACGAATCACTATAGTTTAAATTTCGCGTTCCCTATAAGAATCTCGTTTCTCTCCTACCAATCTCCGTTTCCGTAGAATTTTTCGTGACAGATGCAAAGTAAAGCTATTCCACATTGGTTGAAATTCTTCTATAAGGTAATGTGATTGAGAGAGAGAAAGACTGAGAAAGAGGAATGAAATCTAACATATACTACGTGCAGCGATACATTTCAAGAAACAATTCTAGTATTTCTTTTCCGACATAAAAAACGAACAAGTTTGTTTCGCGAGTAATTATAATAATCATTATAAAATTATGGATTTTGATATTTTCTTTTTTTTTCTTCACTTCAGCAACGTGAAAGAAAAATATAAGAAATAGAAAATATACTCGTTCCCAATAACGCCAACCTAACGCGGACGCAGTCTGACTAAAATTTAAAAAAAAGAAAAAGAGAGAGAAAAAAGAAATATTCCAGCTACTTAATAACGCTTCCGTGTATGATTAAGATGTGACATGCGAGCAAAAGTATACTTTGTTAAAACATATAAAATAACAATGTCGAAGCCTAACGAAGAGATAAAGTTCGGATCTCATAAAGTTCGTAGGTTGGAAATGTTCGTTCCACACGTTCGTTTCACTCGTCAATAGCAGACAGGGCAATTAAAACGTAGGCTAATAGATTCGAACTTTCGAATCTACCCGATACATCCTTATTAAACGACACAACCAACTTGTGTCATCGCCGTACATTCACAAGTGCACCCCCTTCTTTACCGAATTTTGTCGTAAGACTTATGAAGAGGGATTTGTCCACGTTATATTCGCATCGATCGCTTCTTTTGGTCCTGTTCTTGTTAACAAATAAATATTACAGTTTCTCATTCTTTTTTAACAAGCAAATCTCCCTTTCAAAATGCTGGCTGTTACTCACCTATAAAAGCGAATTAACGAAATGTTCAAAATGTAAGTTCTTCGGTATTTTCAGAATCGGATGACAATTCTTGACGTAGTATCTCCATGCAGGACTTTGGAATAAGGGTACCAACTATTTTTAAACCTTCATCTGAAATGTGAAAAATAAAAAAGAAAAAAATTTGTCATTTTTAAAGATTAATGGAATTGTTTAAATTTTATGTCATACTTACCAGTTCGTAAGCGTACAACTTGCATCTTAGAATTGTGACCAGAACGTGTCGCAAGAATACTCTCCACTCGACTCCATACGCTTAGCACTGAACCTGATAAGACATTATAGGAACGCCTCCGGAGTCCAACCTCACAGTCCATACCAAGTGTTGCATTTTTACAATTACCACGCCAGTATGCGTGCGAACATGTATCCACAGACGCTTCGTACTGTTGCGACCAATGTGGTTCCGCCTCGTCTGAAGATACCTTCTTGTACTTCTTCTCTAATTCGCCTAAAGTTTCTTGCCTTAATTGTAATCCTGTATTTGGCCTTTTAACAAAAATATATATTATTCTAGAACTTATATTATTTCCTTATTTTATTTTACATAAAAAAATACTATACCTATAAACCATGAATAGTTGATCTTTTTTGTTTTCAGATTTCTTTTTCCCAGTATCCACAGCGACTGCAAGGATTGCAGTCTGTTTTCCATTACGGATTTGATGGCTCAAGTAGAAACCTTCCTTGGATCCAGTTAACTCAGAACACTTGTCCAACGCCTCGGCCCAGTTCATTCCACGTTCAACGTGAACAACGTGAAGCTCGGTTGGTGCTTTTCCGGTCGCGTGTTTTCGCAGAAAACGATACAACTTGACCCTTTTCACGTTCTCGCCGGAAGTACCAAGATCGAGAATACCCATGTCGAAACGACCAGTCTTTTTCGCTTGCGTGACGATTGCGTTTAATGTATCGGTGAAATATTTGAACAAACGATTCTGCAGGTCGACTGGCATACCGAGGATGCGATTCAAGAACTTCGACATGTTGTTGTAGTCTTTGTCTAGTGTGAGTACACCGGGCGTGCTTTCGCTGTTGCAAATTAAACCGACACCTACTAATGCGTCGGCTACATCCCTGAAGAAATCTCCATGGTAATCTTGTGGTGGCGGTACAAGTGGAGGCTCATACCTAATATATAATTTTTTATAACATTAATTTAATTCGATAAAACATTAAACACTGTAAAAAGACTGTAACGATAGATTAGTAATATTGTTGAAAAAATAAGAGGTATACAAACTTCATTATAGTTCTCATTGTCGCCTCAAGCGCTGCGCGTCCGTATTTATTATCAATATTAAATTGCGAGAGATCTCTGGTTTCCGTAGCCCTTCTATCACCATGCGTAAGCGCTCCAAGACTCTCTAAACGCTTCGCTACAATTGATGCAAATCGTCGTTCACCGGCTAAGTCTGAGATTAGAAATATGTATTCTGGAGCGTTCACTTGATTGGAACGATGCGTTCGTCCAAACTGCTGTATCGCCCTATCTGCGCTCCATGGTAATTCGAGAGTAATGTGCACGCGTCGCATCTGATTTCTCGCTCGTCTATCGCTCTGCAGTGATATACCACTACTAGCTGCTTCTGAGATAATGGCTACCGTTTTTTCCCCATCCATAAACCTATTACGATGTTGAACCATTCAAATTTAATTGTCTGAAAGTAGACCTTTTATTTTATATACAAGTTAAGCATAAATTGATCACATACCTCTGCTTCTCTGTTAAATTAAGTGTTTCCAATGGGACATCTACTTCGGATCTAGATTCGTACTGAATAGTTCCATCCTCCGTTTGAACGACTCGTCCTTTCCTACCGGTCATTTCAGCTACATTTTCCGGTCCACCAAATTCGTCGATCAACTGATCTAGGGTATTTGGTGGTAACCGGTCACCTAAATCTTCTATCTGAGATAGTAACTCTTTCTTCATAGTATACGCACGCTCCACATCGTCCCTTGATGGCGCGCGATTACGAGGCCGCTCCAGCGGCCACAGCTCCTGCAAGACCTATGAATGTTGCATTAGTTATACATGCTTTTATTTACAAAATATTATTACAAATATAAAATATATACCCGGACGTTTCTTCACGGGTTTCTTTTGCTTTTTGGCACCCTTCTTCCTTCGTCTTCCATCTCCCGAATCTATAACACATAATAAATTAGTAAAATAACTTATGTATATTATAATGTAAAATATAAACTTGTAAAATCTACCAGAATCTGATTCGCTATAATTGAAGGAAGAGTCGGAAGTAATGTTGCTCTCCTCGTCGGTCTTATGGTCATCTTCGCTCTCGCTGCCGCTTTGTTTATATTCCGAATCGGAACTGCGGCCTCCATTCCTTTCGTCATCAGTAAAATCGTCGTCAGAGGGGAACGTACGAACTCTCTTAGAGGCTCGTTGAGCAGCCTGCCGTATTGGTTTCCTCTTACTTCCGCCTGCAGAACCGCCAGCGCCATCGATGTCATCCAGGTCCTCTAACCTTTGCATCTTCGACGTGTCGATACCCAAAACTCGCTGTATATGGTTACGATCCGACGCTGGGAAATGTTTCTCGACCAATGTTTGAAGCACTCCCCTAGAATAAAAAAGTAAATATACAAAAGATAGATCACTTTTGTATTTATATCATTTTTTATATAAAAAAGTTTAATAATTAATTTACTTTGCAGTGGAAACGAAATCGCTGAGTTCACCGTCATCACGCTCTAATTGTTCTAACGTGCGTGCTTCACCAGTAGATTGTAAACCGATAACCACGCATTTTCCACACTTCACAGCTTCTCGTGCAACCGCGACAGCGTGTTTTACCTTAGCGGCGATACACAGGTATTTAAAGAATCGCTGGTGCGATGACCAGAATTGTCCCCACATGGTTTTCTTCATACGGTTCTCCGCGTCCAATAATTCTGCCGATTCTTGAAACCTTTTCATCGCTTCCACCCACTATAACAATTAATTCATAAATTATTTGTTAAGTAATCTTATTGCGTATGTAAGGTTCTTTTCTTTTAATACTTACAAGTTGAACAGAATGATCGTAAATTTCGGTAAAATCTTTGGATAGTGGTACTTCTTCTATTTTAAAGGCTACACCATGAAAACTGAGCTGTCTCGCAATGTACATGCCTCGAAGTTTCATGTCCATCGCTACGATCTCCATTGCACCGACTCCTCGCTTCTCCACGGCGGTGATAAAGTCACTGAATTCGGGGAACGGTGTTCCTTCGCCCCACATGCCTAATCGAACCATATAAGCCATGTTACGAGGTTCAGAAGCACCTGTGGCACTAGCGTACACTACTCTAGCTTTGGGAAGTTTGTTCTGCAACTCTAAGACTGTTAAACCTGTAATATGTAATAGAAAATTTTATTAAATGTATCTTACACAAGTTCATAATAAAAATATATTATATGTACCAGTTTTGGTAGGTTTCGAGCTACCCGTGGGACACAAATTCTTTGCCCGATGACACTCGTCGAAAATAATCAGTCCATCGAAATCTTCCCCACACCATTGTAAAAGTTGTTTTAATCGACTCTTGTATTTTCCACCACTTTGCGACGACTCTCCGATCAGAGCAGAATATGTACTGAATATCACTCCTTTCTTTACATTGCCATTTACTGCTGACGAGATCTTCGCGTATTTAAATTTATTCAACGCGTGAACCTAAGAATATAATTTATATTTTATGTTCTAAAAATTGATTACCGATTTGAGAGTAAATTTAACTTCTAATTTTAAAAAATAACTACCTCGATTTTTGACGCGCCAATGTCGTTCAAATCACGCTCAGCGTCGTATTTGAGATCGTTCGAGACGGAAACCCAAATAGCGCGTTTCCTTCCCTTCAAGTAATTTTCGAATATAATACCGCCTATGGTTCGTCCTTTTCCAACTCCTGCACCATCACCGATCAGAAAACCAGCGCGTGTACCGTCTGGCAATAGATGTTCGTGTTGTTGAGACGCGTACGTTATTGATTCGAGCTGCAACGCAGATAAAGCTCCGGTTCGTATCGTTTCTTCCGGTATCGATACTTTGTACCAGACATCTGTTGGTTCAACACTGGATAATGATGCGGTTTCCACGACAGGGTCTGGATGCTTTCGTCCAAGTTTGACTATTGAATATAATATGAATTAATTAGACAACATATATATCAAATAGTATCACAGGTGAAAATAAAGTGAAGTAAACGTACGTTTAGTAGGCATATAATCAGCATATGTTTCTGCTACACCCATATCTTCATCATCTACTTCCTCCTCCTCTGGTATAGTTGGTTGTACATTCATTTTAGCAGGATCTGCAGTATTCATCCATAACTGTGCCACAGCTTTACCTACAATAACAATTTACATTATCATGTTGTAGTATTATAATTTTATTCTACAGTTAACTAATGATATTTAATGATTGTTATTGATGAAGATATAATTATGCTTTAATAATGTTATAATTATCAAAACACTTTAAAGGAGTCATCAAAAATATAGAAGTGAGTACCTGATAGCCCAGCTGGCCAGTTTGGATGTAAACCATTTTGGTTTAACAATTGAACAAGGGGATTAACACCCATGTTCATTCCAGGCATACCCATAAAACCACTCATTAAGCTCATATCCATGCCTGGGAAATAATAACATACATAAAACCTCACAATTGTTCATTTAATATTATTTAAAGCACTATATACATTTACAAATAGTTAATTACAGTTAGATAATCAGTGGTAATGTTATGTACAATACAGTGAAAGGACAAAGGTATAAATTTATTACACAAATACATTTGCATTGTAAAATTAATAATGTATGTGCATCATTAATTTATACATACATTGGACATGTATTTTGTTTGTTAAAGTTTGTATAACACAAACAAAAGTAAACAAATTTGATTATGTTATACAATAGTAAGAGTTAATAAAAAAAAATATTGTACTTACTTGGTGGAAAAAAAGCTGCATGATTGAATCCTGCAAGAGTTGCTAATCCTGGTGGGAAATAATGTCCACCAGCTGCAGCTAACTGACCTAATTGACCTAACTGGTTCGCATTGACAAAACTAGGTGGTGTACCCTGTGATCCTCCCACACGTACCATTTCATAACCTGGTGTTGCTGTTTTAGTTACCAATCCACCAGGGATTTTGTTACCAAACTTCTGATTTGACACTGTCAAAGGAATGTAATGTTAGATAATTATGCTTATTATGTTTTTACTGATACTCATTAACATTGCTCTTACTATTTAACCCTGCTTGTCCTTTAACCATAACATTAGATGATGCATCTATAGGCTTTTCATCTTTTATATTTGCAATCCCAGTAGCAGTGGCAAGATCTTTTCCACCACCTAATAAAAATTGTTGTATATTTATGCTACATATATTTTTATTTTTCTTGTAATTTCAATAATTCTGCATTCAAAAACAGAATATTTACCAGGTACACCCATGTTATCAGGATCTTCATCCTCATCACTGCTACTATCTTCATTCATTGCGTCCTTATCCCTTTTAGCTGACTAAGAAAGAATTTTTTCAATGTTTTACAAGCACATAACACCATTGTTATGCATTAATTAATCAGTATTCAGATAATAGAATTACATTTCTTTTTTATTATTATTTCCATTACAATAATTCGCAGATTTTTTAATAAAATAATGAATCAAGTGTTCATTTCAATATATTTCTCATTTACTTCACACTTCGTTTTATTCTTTCAAAATATCACCTAGTAGGAAAGTGCTCCTTTATCCATACATATAAATATAGATTATGTATCGTAAATAATGCCGTGGTTCATATTTAATTTAAAAAAAAAAAAACTGTCGAAAAAGGAGAAGAAATGAATATGTTTGCTAGCTTGTTTGACTTCGAGAAAAAGCGGGAGGGATACATAAAGAGGAGAGGGAGAACGGTGTGACTCATTTGAAATTACAATATAAAGGAATCGTGTGTATTCGCGGTACACGACACCGCATCTATAGGTTAGTCGTGCAAAGAGATGGATGCACGAAGAACTGCATACTGCACGAAAGAAGCGCGCCTTCTTACGAACGTCCAAACGAAGCGACCATAAACAAAAGCTTACCATGGCAGAAGATCCTTCGAAGCCTCTACAGTTATGGAAATGTTCAGATAAACCGATATCTCGACGGAACAACGACGGTGAATATTATCTTCGCCGTGCAATCGAGGATGCTGACTGTGACAGGGTGCACGAGACACTTTTTGCCTCGGTTGAGTATCTCGCGTGTTGTGTCTCGTCAATCGGACATCAGCCAGTGACGATCAGGCTACCAGTGATTTGTGCGAACTAGGAGATCACAGCGTAAGAACTTACTATGCGCTTAGGCCAAGCCATTTATGCGGTCTAAACTGAGACACACTTAAAACGCGTTCGCCAAACACGGCTGCCGCCATCTTGGCTTTCGCCCGGCCCACGGTGCACCGCGATGCAAATACAAAACACACGCGCTAGCTATGGCTGCTGCTTGCGGAATATGGTCACGCGGCGTTGCCAAATTTATGGTTTTAAGAGGACATTCTCAGGAGCGCATTAACCAAAAAATTATCGCTCTTTTTAACGAATAATTGATTAATACACTTTCTTTAACTTAGTCTATGATGGTTCTTAATAATTTTTTAAACAGGTGGGTGTTTAAATGAACACAAACTAAGGCTCTGTCGGAGCGTCCGAGACGAATAAAAAGGGCGGAAAATTCTGACATCTATCGACTATTTCGTAACTACATTTTTCATGACAATGCATGCAAATTTAAAGCGAACAGTGAGACAAACGAGGATCGGTGTAAATGATATTAATATAATTTTTAAATGTAACATGCAATTCTAGTGGCTCCATACGATTGTAAATAATTAGTTGTCACAAATGAAAATAATTTACAACTGTTTTCTCGATTCAATACAAAAAGTTCGATTGACGTATTTGCTTTTAATACCATTTAAGTAAATAGTTCGTCGATTTACTGGTTCTTCTAAGCTTGATAGTAGGAATCACACGTCACTGTAACAAAAAATGCTAAAGAAACGGAGAGGCAAGTCGTTGACACGTATTAAAACGACTACTACAATTTTAACAATCGCTTATTTGAGCACGTGTTCTTCCAAATCACAATGTACAGTAAACAAACCATGCATATCGCGTATCATGTGTTCGCACGCGCGTGGTTACACTCAAATAAGTACAGCCGTACGAACGTTTGGCAACGTCGCCGAAGCGCCGCGCTGATCGTTAGTTGATTTAAAGTATCCGCGGTAAAAAGAAAAGAATATGACAGCCAACTCTGCACAGAAACTACGAATAACGCGCATTTCGACGGATTTACATCTGTCTAAGAAAATCGAAGGATTTGAAATGACTATTTTAGTAAAATAATATACATTCACCTGGTATTCTACAATTGCTTACCTAAATCTATCTAAAAAATAACATCGTTCTAATACGATCGATCCGAGCTTCGCGCCGCTGGCAGCGCCACATAGCGACCTGTTCGTAGTACTAAACAACATGGGGAGATGATTTGATTTTGTCAATTTTATATCGTGAATATAGAAATTGAATATCTAAAAATATATTTAATTTACCCGAATATACGCGTACGTAAAATATTATATTTTTTTACTGTTTACAATTTTTTGTTATACTTTATTTAAATATTATACACTCGAATCGAGCTAAATATTAACGTTTCTTTAACTTGTTCATATTAATCACGTAATAATGTAGTTTTCGTTCTGAGAATGAAATATAAATATTTTCAGGTACCTGTATATTATGAAAGTATAGATTATAAGCATTTCGTTAACATTTTCAATTATTTTGCGCATATATGTACTTATATATTTCCTTAGTTTGTTTAAAAACAGCGTTATTTTTATATATCCGACCACGAAATTTTATAACTTGGTGTATTTCTAATATATCAAAACATTCGGGTTAACGTTGTGAAATCGTAGTTCATGAAATAATTTCGTAGGGAGTACATTGTAAAAATCTATTCAACTATTCAAGATATTAATTTTCAGTTTATTAATTGTATCCCGTAAAAATCAAGTCGTACAAAAATAAAGTTGAAAATAGCAAATGAGCGAAAAAGTTTTATCTATAAAACGTATTCGTAATGACAAGTAAAATAAACATATAGCATGCTGAGCATACAGGTAGTATCTAATTTAATAATAGTCTATCGTAGTACAGCAAGCAATGGCGGCATATCCGGTGTGCTGTATCGATGTTGTTTGTAATTACTTTCTCGCCTTCTTGGACGGATGCCTCGGACTGATTAATGGAATTGTTAACAGCAACACCGACAAACTATATATTTTTTAAATTTAAATGTTGCTTCATACATACATGAGAGGAAAGTATGTTATAAAAGCACAAAAGTGAAAATTCGAATTAATAAGGATCATTTTTGTGAAGTCGACACTAGCGTCGACTGGCATCGACGTGAACCGAAACAGGCCGTCTCGCGTAACTGAAATTCTGTATGAGAAGAACAAATTCGGAAATCGTTCATTACGTGAGAAAATTAAGAAACAACATGGTTAAAGGTAGGAATGTGATTCCAAAAAATTCACGTACACTTTCACTGAAGATTCTGTACCAACAGTCAGGTTATGTTTTGATAGATTTCACTTCCTCTCTTTCTCCATTTTGAACATTATCTTGGAGATGCTAGTTACACAAAGTTTCGCTTAATTCGTGTACGATTTAGTTTTAACAAATTGTCTCGAGTTTCAGTCGGCACGTCCACATTCTTGAAATGTAGCTCTAACTGGTAAAAATAATAAATTCTGTAGCGTCAAATTTTAAGTTTTCTCTTCGTATATATTTTATACTTTGTTATTTATTTATAAAATTGCAATTAATTATGTAAAATTGAGCAATACAATCTAATTATCATTGTAATAATATCTTTTATGAATCTGTAAAATCTGCGCATACATAGTATGTGCGAGCGCGCACGCATCTACAGGTTCATCTATGACATATTCGTCATATACACACATACGAATATAGTTGTATGTGTATGCGTTTTTATAACAACGATGAGATACAAAACGTTATCAATGACATTATGTGCATAATTTTGATACATAGTATGTAACAAAAATAAAATGTTAAATTACAATTAAATCAAAAAATATAATTTTCTTTTCATTACATTATTTAATATTACCATATAATAAGAAGTTATGAAATTTGAGCTGTGTATAGAATGTAATTTAATTATAGGAACACGAAAACGTGTACAAATAAAAAATACAATTCGTACAAGAGCTGCCGTATTATCCACACAATGTAGTGACATGAATTCACCAATGAAGAAGGAGGCCAAACTAGATGATAATAAAAATGTAAAGAATGATCATTCAGATGTAGTCCATACAGTATCTGAAGCACATAAATCATCTGTGTGCATAAGTTCCTTTTTTTATACAGTAAGTATGTAATTTATTTTAAGCATCATAGACATTAAATATAATTATGAACAAATTAATAGTCAATTTATATTAATACTTATTTTACATATAAATATTTCATATGGATTATATTATAGAAATACTGTTTTCTAATAAAAAGGTAAAATTAACCAATGTAAAACTAATGTATGCAAGACATGACACTGAATTATAATAGTGACATGTACTTTGAAATGCAGATTACAGATGTTTCAAATTCAGATGTTTCTAAGAGCAAAACTTCCATAGTGCCTACTGAAGAAAGGTTCTACAGAAGTGAACAAACTAGAATTGTACAAAATGATATTCTCACTGATGTTGGTCACTTCAGAACAGATGGTAATATTTCATTGATTGCATATAATATACATTATCTAAATGATACTATTAGTAACTGAATAAGTGAACAAATTTCAGAAACACCTGTAGCAGTACCTATTCATGGTCCATCAACACCGCACAGAATAAAAATGCCAAACAATCAGTTAGAAGATTTAGATGAAGGGAATACAAATGATGATAAGCTTAAAAAGCCTGTAGTGATGCCTACACTTACTTTAGAGCAACAGCCTTTAAAGAAGCCTGCTAACCGCGGCCATAGAAAATTAAATGGCACTTATATTGCCACAAATCGTTCAATAGATTTCCCAAACACTAAGAGTACAAATCATAAGCTTACCGACTACTTTCCAGTACGCCGCAGTGTAAGAAAATCTAAGAAAGCTGTATTAGAAGAAAAGCAACGTGATATGGAGAATAAAGTGCTTTGTCAAGTAGAGGAAGGTTTAGAGGTAAGTCAAATTGATGGAGGAAGATTATTTATATTTCGTCACAAATTCCATACAAAATGTTTTTCAGGTAAGACATTTTGCTGGCAAAGGTCGTGGAGTTATAACAACGAGAGAATTTACGAAAGGAGAATTTGTAGTAGAATATATCGGTGAATTAATCGACCAAATAACAGCAAAAAAGCGTGAAAAAATATATGCACAAGACCAGAATACTGGATGTTATATGTATTATTTTCAACATCGTAATCATCAGTATTGGTAGGTATTAAATAAATTATTATCATTCATAATGTATTACAAATCAGTGACTATGTATCACTATATTTTTAGCGTCGATGCAACAGCAGAGACTGATAAATTAGGTAGATTAGTAAATCATTCAAGAAACGGTAATTTAGTCGCTCGAGTTATAGAAGTAGGTACGACGCCTCATTTGGTACTTACGGCAAAAGAAAATATACCTATTGGGGTGGAAGTAACATATGACTATGGAGATCGAAGTCGCGAAGCTATTCGTCATCATCCATGGTTGGCATTATAGCGCTTTTAATTAATTAATTAATTACAGTAGTATGACATTGTTATTTTAGTTGAATTTTATCAAATTAGGATATGCAAAGAAGAATACATTTATGTATCTCTCCTTTAATATGACATGTATAATTATGTACTTCCTTACCTATCTAACAGAAGCAACAGATATTAGAAGTGTTTGATATTTTATAAAATTAATAGTATAGCCTGATTGCATGTCTGAAAAGTGTTACATTTTATCATTTGTCAAAAAACCAAACTTACAAAATACATATAAAAAATGTTTGATTATATATTTTTTTTAATGCCGGCACGATAATTATATAGTTCTACGACTGTACGATGTTTTTGTATCACAGTTTATAAACAACCGCACACAGTTTCTTTATAGTTCATAACAAATGCTTCATCTAGTCCTAGCTTTAGTCTAGTATTTATTGAAGTTGAGCCTTGTAATGACATCACTCAACATACTAGGCCAAAACTTTTCCTGGCTGAAGGATTTGTGATACAACATATAATTATAAAATTTGTCTTCTTCCTTATTTTAGTATTTCATTACGGAGTACTTCGATCTCTGTATCGCGATATGTATATTGTAAACTAATCATTTTTTATTAACTTGTCACTGCCACGTTCCAAATATAACGAGAGAAGAATTAATTCGCGACAATTTTTCGGATGAAAAAAAATCGTGTAACAACAAAAGTAGCTTAATTAGAAATCTAAATTATATTAGCAACCTCAGATCTTTTTTAAATAAACAAAAATTAGGTATCGTAATTTTTCTCGTATTACATGAGAATAGAAAATTAAGAAGAATGCCTTCACTAAATAAATCTTCATAAAGTTTGTGTATATATTGCACCTACGTACTTTCACAAATACTTTATCAGTATTTATTTTATTAAATAATGTTTATTATTGATTTATACGTAGTTTGTAATAACTTATAAGACAAATTAATGATTCTTTGTTGTAGAATTCCATGATCACAACTTATATTTATGCGATAATTTATTTATATCTTTATTGATACGTTGAAGCATTTTATACAATTAATTATATGTTACAAAAATTCTCAAAATTAAAATTTTATTTTGATATTAATATTTTAATATTATATGTATATGACAATGTTAATAATTATCATCATCAATAGTATTATACAGGATGTAAGTTGTACAAATACAATCTTATTTTAATGAAAACCGTACATGAAATATGTAATTTGTTCGAAATCTGTAAATAAACAATCTTGATAGTATGTATTCTTACAAAATTGCGCCACTATTTTGTTATTATTGACATTAAAATACATGATTCATATTTTGAAGCATTCTCACACAAACTTATTTGGTCTTGGCTTCACCTTCTTCAATAACCTCGTCATCTTCTGAATTTTCACCACTTCCTATAAAAGTTTCTTCTTCCGCTGTTAAAAAGGGCGGTGGTAAAAATGACGAAAATTTCTTGTCTATTGGTAAAGTTATTGCAGCAATGGGTGCCTTTTCTTCTACAAAAATATCACCCAAATCCTTTTCTTTTAAATTTTCCTCACTTTTATTCATTGATTTAGTAACAGCAGACTTCTCAGATATATCATTTAATTGCAATTTAATCGAATCATTAAAATTTTGATTAAATTTATTATCCTCCACTAAAGGAGAAGTATTAAGAGAAGGCATTGGCGGAGGAGTGGGAATTCGTTGATGCTGATCGTCCGAAGTAGTTTCTTTCACTATAGTTTTATACATTCGTTGAAGCGCCATCGCTTCCCTTTCAGACATAGACTTTTGCTTATCAACTAAAGCATCCTTTAATTCCGTTAAAAAATTCTTAAACAACGCTTTGTCCCGCTTGTAATTGTACAATGATATTTCATTAGCTTCTTCTCTTAAAGGCTTCAAATATTCTTCCTTAATATATTCTTCAAACACTTCATCCATAATTACCGGTTCTGAATCACTTATAATACGGACATTAGGCTCTGCATCTGACATTGGAATAGTTGTTTCCAAACGATTATCCGCAGAAGTATTGATTGGTATTTTTACAAGAAATAGACTACTAAATTCAATAAAATCTTTTGCACTCCCGACACATTTTTGAGCTACATTCAATCTTTGCATTGTATTTTCCACAGAATCTTCATTTGTCATATTCTCAATAATTTCATTATCAATGTCTTGAAGTACTGATAGTATATGACTGTAAGCCAATTGTAATTTATTAGAAGCTAAATACAAATGCATATACAAATCCTGCCATTGTGATGAATCTGGACCGCTAAAACAATGAAAATGCATAAGTAACTTATAATCATGTAATCTTTAAAGAAGAAAATTTCTGTAAAATATTCTTACTTGTATTTATATGCTATTGGTTCTAGTTTAAAATTATAATAAGCATCAATAATCTCTGATAATTTGTTTTTATACATTGTTAAGTATGGAATTAACAAACGAACGATGTAAGCTAATTTTAATTCAGGGACTTTGCTATACGACTCCTGCCAAGTATGATTATCATATGCAATAGCGAGTAAATGTAACATCTCGGATTGAGTGAGCATGTAAGTGTGATAAAGGGCCTACATAAAGAAAATAACTTAATACGTAATTTAACAAAAAAATAAATAAGTATTAGAGTAATTATTACAAAAATTTTTTATTTTGACCTTCAATTTTTGATAATTTATTTCGCCATGTATTTGAAATGATGTGCTCTCAAAATTTGTTAACAGATTTTCATTACAAATTTTAATTGGCAATAGCTTTGCAAGGATTAAGGAAGCATGATAGTAGGTGCATGAAATATGTTCCAAAAATCTCACTAAGTTTTCCATTATAGGTTGTAAGTATTTCAGTCTACCAGCTGTAAGATCACTGTTAAATTAAATCCATTAAAGATAATATTGCACATATGATCATATTATATTGTAGTCAATTGTAATGTTTATAAACTTACAAAAACTGCTGGCATTTATTGGCTTTGTTCAACTTTATTTTATATCCATACCTTAAGATTTTCATTCCTTTCTTACAGAGATCAAATAAATCATTTTGTAGGGATATAACAGAATGCAAATCCTTATATGTATTATGTACTCTCAAGTACTTTACACAACTAGCACAACACAACACAGTCAATGCAATTAAACTTGCTGAATTTTTATACTGAGTACTGCATGACATATGTACAGAAGATGATAATATTGTACCAAATAAAACAAACTTTAACATCATAGTCCTACAAAAATCTTTAATTGTATGTGATTTATAAAATTTGTTTGATCAATTCATCAAACATTTACCTCCATGGTTTGCAGTCATATTTATCAAGGAAACTATATATTGAACAACCATGATCACTTAATAGAACTTTTGCATTTAAAATGATTTCCACCTGTTTCTTACATACACTAAAATATGTAACATATATTCTTTTGAAAACATTTTTAACATATTGTACCAAACCCTGAAAGTACATAAGTGTTTATAGCATAAATAATGCAATATGCATTAATTCATTTAAAAAAAAACTCACAGATAACATAGAACTCTTTTTTTCATTTTTGGGTATCAATTTTTCTATTGCTACAGTTTCAAAATCAGTATAACCAAATTTATGTAAATGTTCATACAAGGAAGAACCCTAAAAACCAAGAAGAAAAATATATGTAATATTGCACAATAATAGTATTAATAATTAATAATGTACGTTACCAATTTATCATACTTTTATGACAACATCTTCATCTTCATTATTCATATCATCAGTAACCATGATTACATTTATATTTAAACAAAAGGCTTGCAAATTGTACTATATTAATTCAAGAAACAATGTTACACATTATTAAAATACACTTGTCATAATTTTTTACTAACAGATTGTAGGTTAGAAAACCACATTTCACATATTACTGTATTCCTTTTTTGTTGTATATGTAATTTGAATAATTTCATTTTTTTTATTACATATAATCCTTACTTATGACTTTTGTTTAAATCATCTTCCTTACAAAAGAAGCATGTAAATAAATTGATTACGTAAAAAAATGTACAAGTATTTCCATTATTATGATAGTACCAAACATAACCTATAAGACTAGCTTATAAATATACAGGTTACTTTTTAAGGTGCACGCTTTCGCATCTACAGTGATTTGTATAACTATTTTACAGGGTATAATTATACATCATTTTTAAACAATGAAAAATTTATCGTTAACAAAGCGCGTTAGTCGTGTTTTAAATTTCTTAGAAGAACAAATTCTAAATTTGAACGATTCAAAAGTATTACACACTGTCAATTCAATCAACGATGATTTTTATGTGTTATTAAAAAACAAATTATACAAAATTCCGTCGAATTTTGAGGAAGACATAAGTTCTTTTGATATTGATGAAAATTTAGAATTTATCAGTTTAGAATATTGTAGCATATCACAAGAATTATACGGCGCTTGTAAATCTGGCAATATTATGAGGATAAACATAGAATCCAAATTTGAATGCGAGTTGATAACTGGATTAAATGTGGACTTACAATGTATGAAATTAAGTCCAGACCATGAAATGATCATATTAGTAACAGTCAATGATCTTGTGATTACAATGGTATCTACTTTTCAAATAATATCAGAGGTAGATTTACATGCACCACATTTTGGCCAGAAACAGTTTATAACTGTTGGTTGGGGTAAAAAAGAAACTCAATTTCATGGATCAGAAGGAAAGAAGGCAGCAGTGACTAAATCAACAGAAATGAATAAAAATGATTTGGATGATGGATTATGTAGAATAACTTGGCGTGATGATGGTTCATTATTTGCTGTTGGCTTTTTGCACCATGAAAATAAAATCAGGCAGTTTAAAATATTCAATAGAGAAGGTATTTTACAATACACCAGTGAACTTGTTAATAGTTTGGAAGAATCATTATCATGGAAACCATCAGGAAGCTTAATTGCATCAACACATATTTTACAAAACAAACATGTTGTTGTTTTTTTTGAAAAAAATGGTTTAAGGCACAGAGATTTTTCACTTCCATTTAAGCCAAAAGAAATTAAAGTATGTCTTAACTTATTTTTAGTTACTACTATTTTTAATGCATTTCAATATGACTACTATTTTTTCAAATTTGTGCTACAGGTAAAGGATTTATTTTGGTCTCCAGACTCAGAGATTTTGGTTATTTGGTGTCAAATTGAAGAAGATTCTTCTTCAGTTCTACAACTATGGACAGAAAATAATTACCACTGGTATTTAAAACAATCCATCAAGTTTCCCATGGATAATTCATTGATATGTGCAACATGGAGTGCAACATCATTTTCTAAAAAGTTGATTCTTGTAACATCTAAAGAACTTATCACTTGTGACTACAATTGGTCTGTTAACCATAGCAGAGGCACAACTGTCCAAGATAAATGTGTTGTTGGAGTCATTGATGGATATAAATCACTAATGACTGGTCTTAGAATAGGAATTGTGCCACCACCAATGACACATCATACATTAGAAATTCCTGAACCTATAAATGCTATTGTCTTTGCACCAGATGTAGAAAACAAAGATAATTGGGTAGATAGCAACACATTCTTTTGCGTTTCCAGCAGTAACAAATTGGTATTTTATAAACATATAACGGTAAATATACATGATTATAAATTATTTCAAATTCCATAGATACAAAAATATTTATTATTGTGTTTAAAAAATTAGGATTCTGTTTTGTTGGAGTATAAACATGTTGGAACATATGACATTAAGTGGGTTGATTCATTGGAGTTTGACAATTCTTTTTACAATATGCATCACTTTTTATGGCTTGATGAGAGCAATGTTTTATGTTCATTGTCAACAAATAATCAAAGCTATCTTTGCATTTTAACACTAAATAAAATAAATGATCAAGCACAGGGAAAAATAACTGTGAGGTATGTTTGTTTAAAAAAGATGTTAAATTTAAAAAGTATGTTAACAAAAGCTGGTTTCTCTTACAGCCAAATGCATATCATGGATGGCCTGATTCAACACATCATTCCTTCTCCTGACTCAAAGGAAGCATACATAGTTATGGAAAATTCCATCGTAAAGTATACAAAAGAAACAGAATTAATTCCTATAGATGTGCAATTGCAAGACTATACATACAAAGTAGAAGTTGTGAAACTTGGTGCAAAGCATGCAATTCTGTCACTGTACCATAGAAATTGCTTTGCAATAAATGGAAAAGAAATTGCTAACAATATCACAAGCTTTTTCGTGCATTCAGAATTCTTGCTTCTCACGACCGCGCAACATACTTTGATATGCGTTAACCTAAACGAGGAGGATTTTGAAGAATTAATCAAGCAAGATTTAACTATTAAGCCATGGGAGAATCAGCTGAATGAAAAATCATTCACAGGTATAATATACATTATTAACTTATAGCTTTTCAGTCACTGTCAGTGTTAGAATTGAACGAAAAATGTTATATTTTCAGATTTAAATATTAGAAGAGTGGAAAGAGGATCTCAATTGATCGCAGCCATTTCAAAAGATTCAAAAACTATTTTACAAATGCCGCGCGGAAATTTAGAATGCATTCAACCGAGAACACTGTCTTTGTACATTATCGGATTTTATCTGGATAATTGTGATTATTTGTCAGCGTTTGATTTGATGCGCAAACAACGTATAAACTTAAATCTGATCTACGATCATGATCCGGAGAAGTTCATCGAGAACGCGAATAAATTTGTGGAACAAATTTCCAAAGCAAGCTGGTTAAGTTTATTCTTGTCTGAATTAACGGATGAAAATGTTACCATGACAATATATGCAAAGTATTATGGAAAACATCGATCGAAACCAAATATCTCTGAAATGAATAAACTCGAATCAGTTTGTATTTTATTAAGAAACATCATGGAAAAAAGAAACAGCGCTAATCATTTAATTCAACCGATATTAATTAGCTTAGTGAAAGACGAAAAAAAGCAAGGTTTGGAAGCTGCGTTAACTAAGATAAACGAAATTCGAAAGTTGGAAGAGAAGTCTACAGAAAATGAAGAACGCATAACATCTGACGGAGCATTGAAATATTTATTGTATATAGTAGATGTGAATGTATTGTTTGATATAGCTTTAGGAATGTACGACTTCAATTTGACCATGTTCATCGCATCCAAGTCACAGAAAGATCCTAAAGAATATATTCCGTTCTTAAACGACTTGAAGAAGCTCGATGAAAATTATATGAAGTACTCTATTGATTTACATTTAAAACGATACGACTCTGCTCTTGAAAATATTGCAAAAGAATCAAATAGATTTAACGAATGTATAAATTTAATATGTAATTATAGATTGTATAAGAATGCTTTAAAATTATTTGAAAGAAATAGTGAACAGTATAAAGAAGTGGCCAAAATTTATGGTAAATATTTAATGAAAACAGGACTCTATGAAGAAGCTGGAATTATGTTCCACAGGAGTGGTGATTTAAAAGATGCTTTGAATGCTCATAAATTAGCTGGAAATTGGCAAGATGTTATTATTATATCCTCACAAATGGAATTGAGGTTAATATGAGCGCTAAATTTTTTTATGCTTGCTATATCTACACACAAAACAGATTAAATTCATTGTTGTAGATCGTTCAAACATACTAACATAATGAGGAAGTATTACTCAATGCTACTAGTAATTAAATATCAATATATAATGTTAAAAAATATTTTAGCGAAACGGAAAAATATCTACTTTACGAGGATATTACAAAACGACTGAAGAGTGATAAGAGGTACGAGGAAGCTGCGCAAGTTTTGAGGTATTATTTGAAAAACGTAGAGGAAGCAATAATCTCCCTCTGCAATGGTAAACATTGGAAGCACGCTATAAGAATTGCTCATGACACCAAGAATCTAGATCTGATTGGTAAGCTTGTAAATATTATCACTTAAATGTTATTTCTTGCACATTGTTCATTAAAATTATTATATTTCAGAATCACGTATAAGATCAAGTGTGTATGAACACGCAGACCACACAATGTCCCAGATAATAAAAAATAAACGAGACTTTGTGCAGTATACATCGCGTCTCGCTATAGTCAGAGATAATATTTCTCAGAGAAATGTAAAGACGTATGATGAAGTAATTTCAGATATTCTGAGTGACACAAGTAGTGCTACTGGTTCAACTATGAGTCAAATGTCAAGATGGTCTACTTTATCTAGGTAAAAAAGTTTGAGAATTTTTTCATGAGCTATATATACCTCATACGAAAAATACACATGTGCATGTATTATTTTTCAGAAAAAGCTACAGATCAAGCAAAAATCGTAGAAAGAATGAGAGAAAACTTTTTAGTTTAAAAGAGGGCGGTGCTTTTGAGGATCTGGCATTGATACAAGCTTTATATCAAATTATCAGTACTACATACAAAGAAAAGAGTTTGTATACTTATTTACAACAGTCGATTCTACATTAAGTATTGCACAATGGTTACACAGTGATATTTTTTACTTCAGACGATTTACATGATCTAATACGAATGCTTGTATATTTTGGTGACGATGAACGTGCAGAAAATATACAAAACTGCATGGAACAATTTCTTTCTATCATAGAGAAAAATACATATAAAATCTGGGATAAATCTGCATCTTCAACTATAGCAGAAATGGTACATAGTACATCATACTTATGATTGAATTAATCAGCGATATCAGTCTTTATATATTTGTAAACATTCCAGGAATCTATAGAATTTTTGACATGGCACAATTTTCAAGGATTATCTGCTTGTCAACAATTAATAGGTGGGTTTAACGCATTGCTTTGACATATTAAAAAAAAAATTCTATTTTAATTGTTATTCGATTTTCCAGAAAATTACATCATTCGTCCGCCTGAAGCTAATACTTCACCTTGGAAATTGAATATATTTTAGTAATCAATTATGATAAATATTTTGTAAAATATAAATGTGTATTGCATTTCATAATCTTACGATCTCTACAGTTTAAAAAAAATACCATTTACTTTTTTTTATTTAATTATCATTTAACTTTATAATGAAATTTTGTGAGACGAACTCACAGTCTTAAGCTATTCGATCGACTTTTATTATAAAACAACAAGTATCTCAATGTAAGTTTAAATAAATATCTTAGCATAATATTTAAACTTACATAAATGATATATGGTACCCTGAAGAACATTATTACAGTTTATTTTGTTTACTGACATTTTTTTACATAAATTTTATACAGTTTTTACGTTCCAAACGCACAAATAACCTGGCAAAATACCAGGTATGAACAGTCACTTTTATCGATATAATATTTGTATCAAAGTATATATTAATATTCTTGGAATACTCGCGCATTTTCATATATCAATATTAAAACTATTTGTAGGACTACTATCAAAATAAAATTGTTTTTATAATCATGAATAAAAGTTAAAATTTCTTTAATATTTCAGTATAAAAGATATGATTTACGGTTTAAATACCTAAAAATCCTGTTTCAAATTAGTTAAAGATTCAGCAAAATGTGGAGCGATTATCTTTAAAGAACATTTAAAAGCTATTAAATTTCAAGATTACTTTACAATAATTTATGATTCACAGAATATCTTAATGACAAATTGATCCATGTCAAATGTAATTGAAAATTATTGTTAATGTTATACCTCATGATGTAACTAAATCTTATGCTCAGAAACTTATAATTTTTAAAACGATCGTGCTAAATAATATATGAAATCAAGTTTACCTTAAATCTGTTATTTCTCCTCAGTCTTTAGTATTTACACTTTATATCATTTTGCCGAACTTTTACTGAATTTAAACCGAGATCCTTCGGCAAACGTTGTTCGTTCAATTTCCCTATAATAATCCAAAATATATATATATTTATCCATATCAATTGACTATACTTTCATGCTTCTTTCTTTTCTTTCCCATACTAGAAAACTTTGTATATAATTATTCTAAACTTCGTATATTACGTGTAAGATTAAAAGAAAGCTTTAATAAGTTATTTCTGTGTTAAATAATCTAGTTTTAATAAACAAGATATTATTCAACATAGCGTAGTCCATCGTATTCCCGAATAAAGAATATTCGAGTTAAATTGTATGACACGAAATTACTTATTGAAGTTTTTCCTTTTTCCTACGAACTTCATATCAACAACCCCATAATATTCAGAATCAAAGCATCCCATTTTTAATAGGACTTAAATCATTAAGGCAAACATCTCTATAATTACAAACGAGACTATCGTTCACAAGTTCCGAGTTGAATTAATGAAATGAAATGTTTTCTTTTCTTGAAACTACATATTTTTTATTACGTATTTTGTTCTAAAAAAAACATTGTTAATTATTTCAATATTATAATGAATATTTGACAATATTTTTAAACGTATTCATGGCACATTTTTCGTTTTTTTTTTTTTCAAATTTACTTCCCAAATTATTTACTCCAATTGATTTTGGAGTGAAAGTCATCATTTAGGAACAGTTTTAATGATAATTGAGGTAATTAACAGAATGAATTTTTAATCGTGCGATATGATTTAATGAAAACATATAGCATAAACGACGAATGAAGATAGTCTCATTTTTCACTTTTTTCACATCTGCCAGTCTCATGTGTTTCTCCCTCTAAAAATGGATCATTCTATGTATGTTGAAATTTATTTTGTTCAATGCAATATTGAACTCAATTCGTCTCACTGCGATTACCACTTAAAACGAATATTATACTGCCTTCTTATCCGCGGTAGCTATAGCAATCATCATTGATGATCTAAGCTCGGGTCGGGTACTGATCTTCATGTACTTCGATTGAACGTATTTCTTCTCCACGGCTCGATACTTGCTCTTATCCAGATTAACTATAATTCTTGCTGCCTCTCGCACCACGGGTAACACGTCGTCCTTGGTATAGGTACTATAATGCGCCAAGGTATTTGTCCAGACAAATTTTTGCTCGTCCTCGACATCATTACCAATAATTCTAATCAATTAAAAACAACAGTAACAATAAATTATAAGCTATACATATTAATAATTATATCATCTTGATAAAATTTCTCTATTTTGGAAATTGTTTAATTATGTTCTGTAGTAAAGAAAAAGACAACAATGAGTAGAATTAATTTATAATAATAATTTTCAACTGAAAACTTACATAAAAGCTAAATATATTGCTGCAGCTGCAATAAGACTTGGTGGATAGTGACACATTTCATAATACACTAAACTTTGTTCTAGGAAATATTTGGCCATTGTGTGATGAATAGGAAGGGCCTTGTAAATAAATAATTTATTAGATAAGAGGTATAATAGATATTGAGTGTTAATAAGTACTGTAAGGCTTGTAAATCATACCTTTCCAGCTTTGCTATACCTTCTTAGGAAATGTAAGGGTAATGGTCTGCCAAAAGAATAATCTAGTGTTTTCACAATAAGCATTTCCATTTGTAATATTTCTACCTTCGAATAAGCATTATCTGTGATATATACAAAATCATTTATGTCTGGAGAATACATTTCTTCATACTTGCTAGCAATAAACATAGCTGTTACACCAACTAATTGTAATCTTTTCCTATCTATTGAGTGGAAAGTCTGTTAAAGAAAATCATAATTTATTTAAGAAAAATAAAAAAGTTCATTGTACATGTATTAGAAGTACAACTATGTCATCTATATGCCTATCAACAAACCTGTAAAAATCTATCAATAATAGCAACTGTCAAATACAATGTCTCCTGCATTAAATGAAACTGTTGGTGTACTTCTACTAGCCAGTCTATGAGTACACTCCTCATTTTTGGTGTAACTTCTCGACCATGTAAATATCCTCTTGCAACAGGAAACTTACTTTCTAAGGTTCTTAAGTATTCATAAATGTCATTGCTATAAATAGAAACTAGACTAGGATTTCCTTTATCTTCTTCATCAATATCCTCAACTGCCAAAAGGTCTGAGGAAAATGATTCAAACTCCTTTTTAGGAAGTGTTAGCACCTCGTGATTCTCATGAGGAACTGTAAACTTTATTACAGGTTTAACTATCTGCACAGGTGGTTTCTCTGTCACCTTCTCTGATGGTTTAATAGCTTGTTTTTGAGCTATGACTTTTTTCTTATCTTTTGGTAGCAAACGAGATGTGTCAATGGATTCTACACCTCTTAGTGTGTTGACTTTGTTACCTATTTCACCCAAAGCAGCTCTCTTAGTCTTCCCAACTACTCCATTCATGGGAGACTTAATATTTTTGACATTTTCTTGATTTACAATGTTCTGAAAATTAATTTCATTCCATGTTCTCATTTCAATACACAAATTTTATACATAATAGCAATTTAGA